ACATGACCGGGACACCATCAAAACATGACCGGGACACCATCAAAACACGACCGGGACACCATCACAACATGACCGGAACACAATCAAAACATGATCGGGACACCATCACAACATGACCGCGCCACCATCACATGATCGGGACACCATCAAAACATGACCGGGACACCGTCACAACACGACCGGGACACCATCAAAACATGACCGGGACACCATCACAACATGACCGGGACACCATCAAAACATGACCGGGACACCATCAAAACAGGACCGGGACACCATCACAACATGATTGGGTCACAATCAAAACATGATCGGGACACCGGGACACCAGCATCACATGACCCGGACGCCATCAAAACATGACCGGGACACCATCCGCCCACCAGCTCTGACGGTGACCCGACGGCGCCCGTCCGCCTATTAGTTTTGCAAGACCCCATAGCATGGCTATTGGGGAAATATTGTTTATTCGGATTTTATTTGGATTCGTATATTATATAATACGATTTATATTAATATATATATATATTCTTTGTATGTATATAATATATATTCGTATTTGGATTTGCGTATTATAATTTTAAATTTGTTTGTTGGAGGATTCGGTTTAAAATTCGAGTAGTGTCGGTGCTGGCGCTTTTGATGTTGGTTTTTGTTTAGTAATGTGAGAGGTTGGGAATGGTTAGTAGTTTTATTTATTGGTAATACGAGGTTTGGGCCTTGGCGGATTTAGGTTTTAAAATATTTAAATTATTAATTAAATGAATAATTGAAAGAATTTGCTATCGTAATTTTATTGTTGGCGTAGTTTAAGCTAAGGAATATATTTTGGAATCTAAAGATGTTATATGGAGATTTCGCTATATTTGGATGGTTCGATAATAATGATATTAAAATAAAATTCGTGGTATTTAATGTGTTTTGTGTTCTTTTTATAGATGTTAAATTAGATTTTAAGGTTGGTGCGTTTAGAGTAGATATGATTGTTCGATAATTTAAGAAATGGGTTGATTATTTTATGACGAAAGGTTAATTAGGAATTGGTATTTTATACGTAATTTTGATAAATATGTATTAGTGTTTATTATATTTTGTATTTTATTTGTTTTTAATATTTGTATTTCGATAAGCATTTATATATCGGATAGACTTTATGATTCATTCATTATATATTATTATAGTTGGAATTTAGGACGTAACATTTAGGTTTTATTAGAAATACGTTTAGATTTGGAAAAGATTTAGGATTATATTAATTATATATTATATAATTTAAAGGCTTACGCCTAACAGCCGGGCGCCGGCCCACTTGGGTTTGTGGGGCGTACGTCACGCTTATGTGTGGCCTATATTGAGCAAAGTTAAGCTATTTGGTGCGCATCTTGGCCCTACCTATGTTGAACTCATGTTGGCCTAGGTTGGGCCTATGTTGGCGTATGTTGGCCCCATGTTGGCCCAATGCTGGCCTATGTTGAGCCATCTTGGAGGCTATGTTGGGGATATGTTGGTTATCTTGGGCCTATGTTGAGAATATGTTAGGAAATGTAAGTCGTCTGGAGGGCCTCTACCCTCAAAATGTCGATTAAGCCTGTCCGCCGGGCCCGCATTACCGACACCACCCCTGAAAATTACAGCATTTTTGCATTTTTCCATTTTCCCCGCGTCGTACTTCGATATGCGCAATAAACCCTGTAAAACACAGTGTTTTTTATACCTCACACACACGATACACTGTAAATTACAGGGGCTTCAGTGACCCGGTGGTCCCCCCGTTTTGGTGACGAGGGTCGGCGGCAGCCGGCGCGACCGTCTATAATTTTCGGTTACCACCGAAGGCCCTCCGGGCATGCCACGGGCTTCGTGGCCGGCGCCCGGATTATGTGGTATTATCGAATATTTTAATTCTTTTTTATAGCAATGCCTACCTTTCGTATAGATTTTTGCTTTTAAATTCTAACGAATTTTATAGAATTACAAATATATCTTTTAACAAATGGTCTGGGACCTTCAATTAATTGCAATGAAATGATCCTTGGCAATCCTTATTTTTCTATGGTGATTATGCTATTAGGATCATTTTATATTCGTTCATCGATATCAATGCCGCGCCAACATGAATCCCTATTTGATTCAATATTTTGATAGGAATTTTGCAAATACAGGCCCTCACCATCGACCCTTAGATGTCTGCATCCTACACTGGTATCCTGACCGAGCCAAGAGAACGATTCCTGATTCGATCAATTAATTTCAATTTCGATAGGCGTACATTCAAAAAACACCTCCATGGATTGTTTTCGCAATGCAGCCACTAATGTAGTCCAAGCACACCACACCCAATTTGGCATTTCCTTCATCAATCAACCCAGCGCTGTTTAAATTATGCCTTGATTTTTTTCCACCGTGAATTATGAAAATCCATCGATAATTCTTCCGTCCAGTCCATCGCAGATCGTATGGGGCAGGCCAGATGTTTTGCTCAGCAATGCCGTAGCACCCAATTGCAAAATCTTTTCAGGAGCTAGTATCATGTGTGTCGATATGCAATTTTGCATCGTCAGATCAAACAGATCAATAGTCAAAATAAATGCCATTGAATTGAAATTTTCTTGGAAGAAAGTGTTGATATGGCCCTGACGCATCGTGTCTTTGACTAGCATCGATGCATCGTATCTTTGACTAGCGCCGATGCATTCGACAATTCAGTCCCAAACAGCCGTTTAGGAAGATTCAGATATATGATGACAGAGGCCGCCCCTGCCGCCTGGACTGGAATTTCAACAGATCGTGAATTATTCACCGACCCTAATTTTGTTCCATCACCACGCCCGACACTTGAGGTGGCCCCTTTCACCTTGGATGAATTGATTGACGGCCGGCGTAGATTGCCCCTGACCAAGGCTTTGGATCCAAATGGCCTCCCGACCATTATTTAGAAAATATTGATCTGTAAATTTAATTCCCCTCATTTATTATTCGATTATCGAACATTGGAATTCCGATGATAATCTATCATCAGAGCATTGGTCCGCTGGATGGTTACACCTGTTAGCCAAACCAGGCAAAGCATGTAATAAGCCAAGTGCGCTTCGGCCGATTTAACTCCAGCATCCTGTTAATAAAATAGTCTCCGGTCTCTTGGTTCAGTAAGTCCTTGATCAAGCCTTTAGCCAATTTCGGCAATTCCCCTATATGCCTATCTTCCTAGACACAATACAATCGATTTTTTATTATTAGCCTCCCAGCATTGTCGACAGATTCGTAAGGCATGTCAGACAAATACCATGAATTTGGATCGGCACAATCTCATTGGAGGCCTTCAGATTTCTATCGATATGGAAAAAACCTTTGATTCGATTAGCCGTACGATAGTCATCAGGGCTTTGGACACTTTGAATCTTCGACCTCAGCTCCTTAACATACTACATGCTTGACTTGCCCCCAACAAATATTATATTTTTTTCAAAGACCTAGTCGGAGCCCTGACCGCCAGTCGAGGCATCCAACAAGGATCCAAAGCGGCACCACTCTTGTGGTCACTGTGCGTGCATTTAGTGATGATTGATCTTCTTATTAGATATCCCATATCATGGTTGTATGAATATATTATTGTTTTTGCAATTGATTGGCATTTACGTTAGACCTTCAATATGTATGCCGAGGGATTGAATGCATTAAATAAATTGTTATTTGTGTTGATCTTGATGCAATTATATGGTCTGTGCATTAATGTATAGAAGAATGTGGCCCTTTGCCGTATCATTGGAAAAATTGTTCCAGCATTCTTACGCCAATGAACCATTCGCATTTCTGTTGGGCCCAAATTGTGCCTGACTGATCCCACGTAGAGATTGCCATTGGTCTCAAAAACAGCATGTCTTGGCGTCATTCTCAGTCATTGGGCATGGGAAAGTGATATTGTTCGATGTCGAATCATTGCAGCACAACATTGCTTCCATATTTTGAGATGATGGCTCCCAAATCCCATCATCCCCAAATCTTTGAAATTTTGATTTTACAAATAATGTGTACTCCCCAATTCTTCAATATGGAATCTTTGAAATGGGGATCACCAATCAACATCTTAAATAATTGATCAGCATCATTAATATTCACCAAAGACGCATGATTCGTGAATCGGTCCACCTCACTCATGAATCCATTGTTGTTTGCTTCCATCGATTTGGATTTGACCCACCTTGGATCACATTGCAGAACACATTTGCCCGTCTTGAAACGGCACTCCAGACTCGTCATGGCCAACCAGACCCATGACATATGTGCACTAACTCTAGAATACCCAGTATGGTCACTATATTTCGACCATAAGCTCCCAAGGCCTTCTCTTTGCAGACGATGACGAAAAGCCAAGATGGATCTTTATGCATGAAGGCATTGCTCGTGAGAGCTACATGCTTTGGCTTGCACCCGCCACCAAGTTGCAGCATCACAGATGGAGACAGCCCATCTGCCGAACAGTGGCTGGAAGATCGAATGAGGCCACGAGCCGACCAGAGGCCGACAGCTCGAATGGACATATCTCCATGATTTGCTCGGAACATGTTTTAACAGTTGAATGCTATTCGCTACCGCAGCCCAATACGGGCAGAGGCAGATTCACCTCTGCCGGCCTTGAAATGAAACTCTGTCGGCCTTGAAATGAAACATAAGGCCGAGGGTAAATGACGAAAGCTAGCAGGGATGCATCCGTGTCAGTGGAAGCGAAATATACAGCGTTGTCCAATAGCAAAGGATTGGTGGGAGATCAAGCGGAATAAGGCAACCTTTTTTCTTCATAGGCACGGGACTATTGGAGGGATGGTTCACAAGGGCTCGCTCATGAGATAAAAAACATTATGAATATGTGAGACACACGAACAGCAATGACCAACCTTAGCTTGTGAATCTGTTGAATCTGTTGCATCGTATCCCAAAATTTCCACGGAGGAGTTGAACCAAAATGGATGCCATAAGAGGTGTCCAAGAGGTGTCCCAAAGGCGGCGCAAGGGGGAATTGAACCCGCGGGGGATGGGGGGCCTCTACATATGAAATTTTCACGTAATGCGACGATCTCGAGGATTCCAGCCCCTCATTCACTTGCTAAAGCAAGGACAACTCCAGCTAGTTGGTGCTAGCTTTCGTGAAAAATATAAATATATCGATTATATTTTTATTCGAATTTATCGAATATAATATTGATATATTTCTTTGAAGGATAAATAAAAGGATTATATATTGATATAAATTTGAAAAATTAAATTCTATATTTTAATGAAAAAAAAATGTATTCTAAATGGAGGATTCTAAATATTAGATGTTTTAATTATGAATTTGGTGGGGAATATTTAAATAAAATTGTGATCGATGTTCATAATGAATTTAATAAATATAGATTCTATATAAATTTGAATTTATCTAAATTTCAATTTATATGATTTAATTGAATTCATTAATTAAATATATATTATCTTGATTTAGAATTCTTTATATACAAATAATATATTCTTAAAAAATAACAATAATTTAATTATAATTTATCTTAATATATATTTAAAATAATATAAGCATATTTTTTAAATTAGACGATATTCTTCAGCATTAAATTTAGCAAAAAATATAACGTCATTAATTTGACATATAATTATCATTATAATTATACATTATTAATGCAATATCAATTATATTCATAATATTCATTATAATTTGCCGATATATTATAATGGAGAATTTCAATATAATTCTTTACCTCCTTCTTATATTTGTTAATTAAAAAAAGAATAATCCATAATTAATATACTATTTATTGTTTCGATTAACTAAAAAAAATTAAGGCCACGGGGGGGGCGAAAGCTAGCGCTCCAGAATAAGAAAGTGGAGGGCAACCAGGTAGGAAAAAAACATGGCGCTCTTTTTGGAGGCAATCAAAGAGACGTCGCGGTGGCATCGCAAAGATCCACCTGCAAAGCGGATTGTCGGAAGTCTGCGGGGAGGGTTGTCAGAGGCTACAGAGCGAGTGCGACCGCAAAATACGCAACGCTAACCGCATGCCACAGAACGACGACAGGACGGAATCGAACGTACGAAGAGGGAGGAGGGAAACGATTCCAAGTAAAGAGTCCTATATGGTTCTTTGCCCGGATCCTCCTAAGAGAGAAAAGGGAGAAGAGAATAGAAAGACGAGAGACAGAAAAGAGGAGAAAGAAAGAAAGAAAAAGAGAAGAGAGAGAGATGAGAGAGAGAGATAAGAAAGAGATAAAGGAGAGATAAGAGAGATAAGAGAAAGATGGAAAAAAAAAAGATAAGAGAGATAAAAGAGAGAAAGAGAGAGTGAGAGTGAGAGTGAAATTGAAAGTGAGAAAATAAGAAGGAAAGAGGGGGGGATTCGACCCGAAAAATCAAAGGTTAAGATTTACACCCGATCGAAAGAAAGCTTACTATCGCAAGAATAACTCCAGCTAGCTTCGCTAGCTTTCGTAAATTACCAAAACCTCCATCTATTTCCTCAATCTAATAAATTTAATTAAATCAAAATTTATTTCGATTATACCATTTATATTCCATCAATAATTTTTACATATAAATTAAACAATAATAATATCATTAAATAAATTTCCTTCATTTAAACCAAATATCTATATAAATTCGATAAAAATTCAAAAATTACGTATTCGATAAAAATCCAAAAGAAGAATATATATTTATATACATAATAAATCTATAATATTAAGAAATAAAATATCTTCCAAATTCTATATATATAAAATTATATAGACAACATATATTTTTCAAATTCCATATTATACAAATAAAATTGTTAGATCATAATAAATCTATAATCTTTATGTAATATTTGTTTTATTTCTTGGATATGCCGTGTATTACGATTTTGCAACGGTCCACGATTTCGAATTATCCTTTGCGTTCTCTAAATCTTCTCCTTCCAGCACGGTCATTCGGATCATTACCTAACGATCCCGCGATTATGCCGTCAACGCGTCCAAAATACATCCCATTTCTAGAAGCGGAACGCCGGAAACCGGCGATCTTCTAAATCGATGCCAAAATCCATTAAACAATTCAATATTCCAATTACCAATTCTTCTGCGATATGCTTCGAAGCGGCGCCGGCGCATCCATCTAACAACCTCCATTTTACGATCAAATACCTTGCCCACAGATTTGTATTGATATCCTCCTGCTTATTTTTATCAAATAGAATCAATCGCTAAGAATATCGTCCAAAGATACAAATCGCGGCCGATCGCCCACAGGTTTTGCCAAGCTAAACACTTGATTTTTCATTTCGGGCTTCATAATAACATTACCAATCTCGACCAGAAAAGAAGCGGCAAAGGAATTAAAACAGCACCACACGGCGCCTTCCAGCCCTCAGGTGGGCCGGTGTATCGCGACGTCGAAGCGGGCAAGCTTTGGCACCATGTCACAGTCGGCTCCTTTGCGACAAGCCCCATTTTCTGGAAATAAGGACATAAAGTCCCTAAAAGTTTGCTATTCTTTCCTTTTCCTTCCTTGGACGAACCCTTGCCGGCTGGTCCTTCTCGGACCCTTTCCCCTTAGTATTGCCTTTTCCACCTTTTGCTGCGTAAATCTGCTCCCTTTCCTCCGTTGGTTTCCTTCACCACCGCGAAAGTCTTTTGCGAAGTTCCTTGTCTGACATGCATCCCCTTTAGGACAACTCCCATCATTCCGAAACTAAAGCCGGAACACTCGGACCAGGACCAGCCTTCGGCTTCGGCTTCAGTTTTGGCTTTTTCTCCTCCTAGAATTGATTTCCACCTAGCGGCGGCTGCCCCGAACCTATGCCAGACATGTCTGTCTATTCCCGCAACGAGCACGGAGTTGGCGGTCGCCTTGTGGCATCTCTCTAGTCGATTTCCAAAACCACTCGATGGGCTTCTTCCCACGTAGCAGGTCCGCAACGTATCGCTTCCCCTTTCCAGAGCCGCAGCTACAAGAGATACAGCTCTCGTTGCGTCTTCCCCAAGCCAACCAATTCCAATTTCGAAATGCTCGCCTCAAAAAGAGGTTCAAAATGGTGAGCGCTCAAACGTCCTTTGTTCAACAAAATGGGCTTGTTATCCCCGCGGCGCGGACTTCCTTCTCTTCTTTCCTCTCAGCAAAAACCAGGTGTTTTTCCTTGATCCTGGCGTACACCGCTTCAGGGTTTGACAAGGTCGCACCACTTCGCCACGCAGCCCGATAGATGTTGGTGAGGGTCTTAAGACTTCTGCCTCTGCAAGCGGCAAACTCATCCCATTGCAGTTATTGGCTAGAAAACAGCAATCTTCAAGTTCCTCGTAAAATAAAACTACCTCTCTGGGCTCAAAGCGATGGTCGCCCAGCGTGGGCCAATTCATCAATTTTTGCAAATTTAACACTAGTCAATCCGCACTTTGCGATCAAGGTTTCCTTCAACATCTTCGTTTGTGCTTCCAAGGCCTCAGCAAGATCTCCTCCTCCAGCGAACGAACCTTCGGAGCCGCGTTTGAGAGCCTCCAATTCCATCTCAAGGGCGGCGACCTTCGGCGAGTCTCCCCCGCTCGCTGCATGCTTTGCGAGTCCAGCACGCCCAACTTTCTTCAGCGACACTGCAGCTCGAGCCGGAGAGCCGAGAACGGGGCCTTCAACTGAAGGTGTGCTGAACAACTTGTCGCTCTTTGACCTCTCTTTTCCACCGAGAGCCAGGCCCACCTGCCCAAGCACTTCTGCCTTCATGGTCTTCTCTCCATCAGAGCACGAACCTGTCCCGCAAAGTTCGACTTAGGGCTCGGACGTCCCAAAAATGCCCACCCGGTCATAGACGTCCTGGATGATCTCGGCCTTCAGCGTGACTCGATCCAGGTCTTCAGGCTTGACCTCATGCCCTAGAATCTTCAAAGCCATCACCAAACGGGCGATCCTGGCTAGAAGCGCTCCCATCCCTTCCTGGTCCGGGCGGAACACTGATGCATCTGTTGCAACATGTTGCAACAGTTCCTCAACATCAGATGCTCCGGTTCCAGCTGAGGACGGGCGAGGACGGGATCCTCCAGCTCCAGTTCGGGGCAACGTGAGCGGTGCTGCTTGCCCTGCAGCCGCACGCTCAGGCACCACAAGGGCCGAGCCGGCCACCGGTTCCAGTTCAAAGGGCTCTACATCGTCATCGTCCTCATCCTCCTCACTTTCATCCTCTCCATGGTACTCTTCCACAAAGCTACCTCCTCACCTGTAGGCAGCCCCCGTTGGGCGTCTTCCTTTCCCTTCGTCGCCAAGCCTGCCACTTCGGGAAGGACATCTTGTCCGGTACCAGGACGCGACCATCCGCTATGCCATGCACTCCGATAGCGTCACACCTTCATCTTCTCCAGAAACTTCCTTACTCATAGCGCGCCTCTACGACCGCAACTTTCCCAGAACAGCCCCCAACTGTGAACAAGGACAGCTGGTACTTGGAAACCTATCCAAACGCAGCTGCCCAACTGTTTCTTGCTCGAGAGTTCACGCGTCCTCAAGTCGTGAGGCGCTGCTGCGGTGAGACCGCGCTGGAAGCTGCTTAGTGCTCACTTCCGTGCGCAACAGCCAAATGAACGCTCCGTCCAATTGAGCCAAAACGAGTGTCGTGAAACAACTGTACAAACATGCAAGAAAACAAGACACAAAAGGCTGGTAGGGACAGTACCATACGCAAAAAGGACTATTTCGTACATATTCGATTAATACAAATTAATCAATTGCCTACCATTTATAATATCAATTAATATTTGTGCAATGTATATGTTTAGTATTTTTTGTGGTTCGGGTAGGTTCGTGTCACTTTCCAACACAATTTAGCATGATAATATCTTGCTCATGTCGGCAATGTAGGACTTTGATCTGGTGGCGGAGGATTCTGCAAAGCCACCAAATCGGAGTTGAGCTTCGGAGATGAATCTGGTGGCGGCATGTTGGGCTCCAAGTTGAGCGGAAGAGGAGTGTCCGAAGCCTCTTTTTCAGGCAGTCCACTGCTCGTTTGTGGCATTGAAGCTTGTCCAACCTCAGCTGCCTCCAAGGGCGGAGAGAGAGAGGTCCCCAAAAGCTTCGAAGAAGCGCCTTCCTCTGTGTCTCTGGAAGGCTGAGTCTTTGCATTGCTTGCTTGTGCAGGTGTGTAGGGTGAAGTAGGTGGCACCCATGGAGCTGCAGCAGGATCCAAAGCCCCAGCACCAGCGCCAGCCGTGGGCGCAGGCGCTCCATAGTAGGGCGGTAGCTGGGGAGGCTCAAAGGGGTAGCCGGGCGCACGATCATCGAAGTAAGGGGCCTGCGGTGGAGGGTTGGTGGCCAGAGCTGGTGGCTCGATACCCGGCAGGCGCCGGCTGCAGCAAGCAGCGACATACTCTTCATAGCCTGGGATGATGGGAGGCGCTGGCGTTTGACCTGGCATCCCATCGGTCCACTGGTACGTAAGAGGGGCATCCATGTATGGAGGGCATGCTGGATGCATCGCATGCGGAGGATGCGGCGGATGCGGCAGTGGTCCATGGCACGGTGGAATGGGCATGGGCGGCAGGTTCGGCCAAGCCAGGTCACTCCTCGGTCGCTTGGAGGAACAACACGCTGCCGAGTTCACACACCGTTCACACACACCCAAAACAAAAGCAAAACATAAGGCTCAGGCAGACCTGCACCCTCATTGAAAAAGTCATCCATTGGATCGCCAGCCTGGCAATCTCTGAAGAGCTTGGTCAAAGAAGGTTTCAGATGTGCAACTTCACCCGGCTGAGCCTCAGCCTTTTTCTTCTTGTTCTTTTTGTTTTTGCGCTTTCGCTTCTCGTGCTCGTAGTGGCAAAACTCACACTCGTAGCCATTCAAGCACCTGCAGGTCATCCAAAAGAAACCTTTTGCAGCCGCATTCAGAGTAGGGAAGGATCTCCAAAAGTTTTCTGCCATGAAGTCTGATGACAACTGATATGCTCGCCCGCATGCCCATGATGCCATGAGCCAAAACAAGCCACCCACCACATGGCCTGTTTCGAGGATAGAAGCAACATCTTTTGCAATTCCCGCTATCATGAAAGGCAGAGCCCATCGACCTCAGCACCGTTCAATCAATAACATAGAATCAAAAAAACATATGAATAGGTTGCACAATCCAAATCAAACGGATACAAAGGGGTGCCGTTCGGAGCCTCACATGCACCGAAACACAGCCCCGTCCTTCTTGCGAGAACTGATGTTGGGACGTCCTACAGGATCTATAGGACCCGGAAAACACAGGAAGTGGAAAGCCCCTTGTTTGTAGAGGAAAATGGCCACTGAGGCTCGAGGGTTCACATTCCGTGACTGTCAAAGCGCGGTGGTTGTTTCTGCGAATCGAGCCATGCCATTTGCTCTGCGCCATTGTTCTTGTGGCTTGTAGTTTCGTTGCCATGGTTGTTGAATAGCTTCGTTGAGCTTTGAAGGTTTGAGTGGCGCATAATGGCTGACGATCTTCAGGTGCACACTCTCCCTTCAAAGGCAATTTACAGCAATGTTGGAGGGAGCCGGTGGCTTTTTGACACCAGGACGAGAACCTTCTTGGGGTGAGCCCATAACCTTGCACCTGGTAGCGATGCATACTACATTCTTGTTTATGTTTCGGTTCTTTGCTGCATTTTGAGACGATGGCTTCCTACCGACGTGCATTGCTACAGCCACGCAAATGCATTTTATTGCATTCGCCTCTGACGACTTGGTTTCATGTCCGGGCACCTGTATCACTGATGCGGAGATGGCATTATGGACGTAAGGCAATGAACAATTGTTGTTCAGCTTGAGGACGAATATTGTGTGGTTGAGCTTGAGCTAATGGACGACTCTTTTTCAGTGATGCCTTGGATGAAAGGTGTCGAAGGTTATTGGCCAGATGCGTCATTCTGGAAGTTTCAAAAACTTGCGAGCCATTCACTGGGTAGAAATAGAGGTGAACAGCCGATTCTTCAGTTCACCTTGCTAAGTTTAGACGCATGTCCCCCTTTTGGACCTCAAAATGGTATTCGACAAAACTGAGTTTCCAGTCGAGGCTTAGACTCTTGGAGTCTCTTTCTTTTATCACTTCGGAGAACCCCCCAAAGTGGCTGTGGTGCGGGGCGGTGTTTCGACTCCGCCCCAGCGATGTGGTGTGGAAAACGGCGGACTCGGGGCCAAGGGCACTCATGGAACATCTATATAGAACCATCTCAGTTTCAGGGAGTGTCACGTAGACTGATGAATCAACCCCCTCCGTTTGCATTGAAAAACGTTCCTTCGTTTGGGTCGTATGGCGGGTTATGAATCCAGAGTCTGCATCAACCTCTTGCCCTGCCGCCCTGTTGTCACACGAGTTCCGAGTTGTGTTGATTCACAGCGCCCTGTGGCTTCTGTTCTTCCATGTAGCTATGGATTTGGATTGTTTTTTGCAGAATTATGTTTCATTGGTGGGACAACTGATCAAGCCAATCATCACCCGGGTGTTTCTTCTGACCGAAACATCCGAAACCCACTCCTGAGCTCCCCGCGGATGCAACGCCCCCGGCGGCGGCTTCGGCGCCGTCTCGATGGTTCGTCCCGAGGCGGCCAGCGCGGCCTGGCATGGAGCGGCCAAAAGACAAAGAGGATAGGCCTAGTAGGCGCTCCCCTTCAATTGCATCATTCTAACTTACTTAGTACCTTTTTCGTGGATAGATGGTAGGCTTTCCCGTCTTGTTAGGGGAAAAAGGTGTCATCGAACTTACTTAGTCTACCTCGCCATGAGGGGTCGCTTTGGTTCCGAATGAAGACTGTCCGCTCGCTCGCTCCGATACGGGGGGCCCCAAGGCATATGGACCGAGGACCGCGCCTGTTGCCGCTCGGCCTCCGAGTCCTCATCCTCATCATCACTGTCCGCTTTGCCCAGGGCCAAGCGCGCGAACTCGGCGCCCAGAGCTCCAGCGGAGTCGACACCGGGTCCAAAAAGGGAGCCATAAGGCGATTGGAAGTGGTTGCCCTGATGACTGTAGGGCATGTCCAAGGCAGGCGCCTGCCAGCAGTTAGTTGCACCGTTGCTGCACGTGCTCAAGATGTTCCGGAATGCTGGATGGTATGACGCCCCACCCCACAAAAGCACAGGTGTGGAGGACCTTTTTGGGGGCCCGGACTCCTGGGTGCCAATCCTACCTCCAAGTTCCACCTCCACCACCAGAGAGAAAAAAAATTCGGCCAAGTTCCACCTAGACCGGGTCCTAACACCCCGCAGGGAAGTGGGTCTGCGTTCCATAGGTACAGCGCGCCCCAGAAGCGCACGGAACGGCGCCTGCTTGGGAGCAGCCACCGAAAGTAACAATCCATCGCCGGCAGCTCGGCCTGGCCCAAAGAGACCTACATCGAGTCGACCTGAACTAACCTGACTATTTTATTTGGAGAGTTACCCCCTCAGAATCGAGCACGACTTGAAGACGGTCTTAGGCAATCGGGGTGGTTGGGGTGGTTGATTCATCCAGAGTCTGAGAACCTGCAGTAGGGTCAGTAGAGTCTTTCATGAACTTAAAGATTCGGGAAGAAGATGAAGATTCAGGAGCATCCCGGTTCTCAAGGGTTGGTATAGCTCGATTTTGGAGGTTGGTATAGTTGGACACGCAGAGTCGCCTTGGCTGCAAGCTATCAGCTATGACGAAAGGTAAGGACACCCTGCAAGGGATTCGAGAGAACAAAAGCACACAACAACCCGGCACTGCAAAAGGAAGGTGACTTTCATCAGGTTGCTCATATAGTTCGACCAAGCGAGTGGGTTGAATGAAAGCACCGCATGACCCAACACACGCATCAGCAACTGCTGTCAAACATCAAAACAGCCAGTGCAAGCAGAAGGCACGCAAAAGGGCTCATGCAACCGAAACAAGCTGCACGTTTTTGCGTGTTATCCCACAAAGAAACATTCCTGACTTGAAAACAAACAAAAGAAGGGCACAGGTTGCAGGTTGCAGAACTGCCCAGCAAAGAGAGCCTTATGGTCTCCACTGATGGGTCTCATGGTCTCCACGATCCTAAAACCACAACCCAGCTGTGCCCAGCCGCCTGAAGCTGGGCAGGGAGCCACTGTCAGAGGCGCCTGCGGAAGATTCAAAGCGGACCCACGCGGCTGCGCGAAGCAGCCAGAAGAGGCTCGACACATTGGTCCAAATCCACCGAATGGTTCATCCGTTGCATCTGGAGGGCCTATTGAAATAAAGGTTCCCCCGTTCACAAAGAAATGTGGCAGAGATTGGCAATTCTAGTTCGATGGCCCGCTTGATCCAGCCTCTTTAAGCGGCATAGGGCCACCAAACAACTGGTACCTGTCAGTGCTGCACGGCTCACCTCTCCGTCACCCAAAGGACACCAAAGCCAGAAAAAAAAATGCAGCAATGTCTCCAGCTATGTCTGCACCGGTCCTTGTGTCTGAAAACAAGGAAGTTCCAGTCGGTGAAGGCGTCATCAACGGTGGAGTCGCAGAAACCAGATGGTTGGCCTCGGGTTCGGAAGCATCTTGGTCGGCTGAGCATCTCGACCGGACTCTGAGAGTTTCGCTCGCTCAAATACCCCAGGCTCAAAGGAGAAGTATGGTGGGTGAAAGAAGGAACAAGGACACACACAGGGCCCAATGCAACTGGGGCATCCGACCAAATTCGACCTGCAAGGCGAGCGGAATTTTTTGGAATGTGCGCACGCAAGGGCATAGCAGCATAGCATCATTTTTTAGCACTGGCCTGCTGGGTGGGGCTTGAGCTCCTGAAGCGACAGGTTTTCCACTGTCATAACCATTTCAATCAAAGCCGCCACCAACGAGAGCTTTGTTTGCTGCTTCCTAAATCCTGCAAAAGCCCATCCTTGTGAACCTAGCCCATCAGGAGCCGCCTGTGAAAGGAGATCCGCCCGCCCAAAAAAAAATAGAAAACGTGCAGAGACGCGCCCCGTGGGGCGCGTTGGGCGTGCAAAACTCAAACAAAGGGTCTGCTGGCGCCATGTCATATCCATCACCCTTACAACTGGCCAAGATGCAGAAGTTTCTTCCACTGAATCAAGCACCGCCCTGACAAACGCAACGAAAAGAACGCGCTCGGCAAATAAACTGCAGAGATGCCGAAGCAAAAGCCAAGCCCGGTCCAAAACCCTGTGTGCAGCAGCCGCGCCTTTTTAGGAATCCTTGCTGGTAGTGCACCTGACTCTGCCAGGGCTTCGCTCTAGCATTTATCTGATTGTCATAGTCCTTTGGCACGCCCCGCTTAATTGATCTGTGTCTTGTGTGAGCCTTTGAGTGGTTTGCTCATGGCACGTGCCTGTGCCGGCGCTGTGCTCACCGGTTGGCTGTGATCAGTTGGAGTGGTTGCTGGCGAAAATCCCGAAGGCACGTCAATGAATGTATTCCTCGGCTCGGCCGTTGTGCACACCCGCACACAGGGCAGCAAAGCGCAAAGTTTTGGAGAAAAGAACCACTTGGACCCACTTGGAACGCTGCTTCACAGGCAGGGGCTGGCCGTCCTAAGCAGTTCTCAAAATGCCAAAAGATTGCGAGCCACCAAAAACATCCAACCACAACAGGTTCCTACGCATCTTGCAGGTACCTCCTCAACATCTTGCGCGACGTCTGCGATCAATCGGTGGAAGTGGACGGCCCCCCCGTTGCAACATCTTGCCCGTTGACTTCGGTTCCCGCACGTTGGTCTCGCCGATTGACTGATTCGTCATGTCGCCTGTCGCACCTTCACCTGGGAGGTGGTCAAAGTTTATGATGTTAGGGGCACCTTGGGTAAAGCATCTGCACATCCTTGGTACTACTTGAATCACAGTTTCTTGCTTCACAATAGATTCCATTCAGCCCTTAGTTTCCACGCCTTTGTGACCCAAAGCTGCGTCGGACAACGGCAAGGGCCGCTTGGCCGGCATACCAACACCTGCGGTCGGCAAACAGGGCGCCGAACCAGCACAAAACAAGGTTCGAACCGAACAACCAAGACTGGGGGGGGTCCTGGCACTGTGCGAGATGTCGGTGTGACCATTATCAATGGATTTGCTACGGATGACACGGAGCATCAGAACTGCTGTGCCCAATGACGGTCTCCCGCCTCACACTTTGACGAGGCAAGCCTGCATGGTGATTTGTTTTCAAAACTGCAACAGTTGGGTTTTCACATCTTCACAGACACACACACACACACACACGCAACCTGCCTGATAATTCACAGGCCATGACCCAACAGCCAAGAAGACATGTTCCAGCTTGAAATGGCAGCAGGTTCCAACATGAGGTGTAGGACAAAATGTCCAACGTGAAATTACGCTCCTGTAAAGCCAAGGCGCCTGGCCGAGTCCAGAAGGGGAGAACATTGTATTAACAAAAAAATCGCCTATCAAAACGGGCCGTTGCATTTAGATCGTGTTAATGCATTATTCATCGCTTTCAACGAGGTGGAAACAGTTTACTCCGTTTATTCTATTGTGCATTTGGGACCGGCGTTGCTCAAAGAACAAAAGTGCGATCAACGGTGCGATCAACGACGCAAGTGTTGATTCCTTCATTTTCGAACATTGTTCCGCGTGTGCTGTCACGACAACACATGCAAATCATATCAAAATAGAAACTTCGATGCATTTGGAGTTGCCATGCTAAACTGGTGCTCTAGTTGCCGCACATTTGAATCAATGTTGGCCTTTAAAAAATTTCCCAAAAATCTTATCAATTTTGGCCTGAATCCTTTCCAAACAAGCGCGCAAGGTTTGCAGAGCTGACTATGTACACAGGGAATCCCCTCGTCAGCCTATTTTGTTCACGTATGCAAGACCACCCGCAACACATTGATTGCTTGCACCCGCTTCCTGCACTCTGTCAAACTTGTGGTTCGTCGAGCGTGAGAAGCAGCGCCGTGATGTTTCATGGCCTTCCAATTTTGCAGGCCAGAAAGCTAGGACGAATGCAACCATCCTTGTCGTGCAAGAAAATGGTGTGTATTTGTTTGGGTTTTGTACTGCTGTATGCGGTGCAGCCGCCGATTGACGACAGTGACAAAAACCAGAGAACATCAAACCTTGTGAGGAAGGGACGGGCTTCGTTTGCACTAAGAAGGGCCATGACTTTGCAACTTCCAAACGCAGACCTGAACATGCGTATTACATTGAGCTTAAAAAAATATGTACAGTCGGAATGTGGCTACAATAAGCGAGAGGGGGGGAAAGAAACAAGAGCCATGCGACGCAAGGCCCTTCCCGGTTTTGAGGATATCAGCTATTCTGTTTGCGTCACCAACATCAATGAGTCCCGAATTTTTCATACGACGTTGACACTTGGCAACGGTCAGGGGCGCCCCAGGGGCCAAAATGAAAATCGGATAATGATGTTTAATATTTTCAACATGCTGTTGAGCCAGCGTCTGGTTCAAACAGGCCTGTGGAAAATCCCTTTTGGCTTGCAACAACTACAGGTTGAGATTGACACATACAAACGTTTTGTTTCCCACACAAACGGTTTGGGGGGCACAGGTGCACCTGTATGAACTGGACAGGTCAAAAAACATTGCGCCCTCTCCGTACGCATTCTCAAGTTCAGTTCGTGATGATGATGTGAACTTGGGTGGCCACAGCTGTTGACACGGCATCGTCTTGCTCAAGCTGGCGAGGGTCCCAACACCCTTTGGCGCAACATATTGCAAACCTGCTTTGGGGTTTCCACGAGTTGCACGCCCATCCCTCTGCGCCAGCCGAACCCGAAACCAAAAAGGCTGACTTAACACACATTCGCACAACCCTGTTTTGCAAAACTGGCGCGCCTCTTATGAAGCCCCCTTCGCTCTAATCAAGGCAACCACCCCTGTTAGCATCCGCGCACGAACCGTAAGTCAAAGGTGATCCCACCTAACTCTTTGATCAACATGGCCAGGACAGGGCTTTGAATGAAGGAAGCACATGCATGGCAGCGATCCTGCCGGGCAAACTAAGGCTCCCAACCAACATGCCCGCTATGCTATTTTTGCCCTGGGGGGGGCCTCTCAATAGATAGCCGATTCACTGCGGAAACAAACATCAAGGGTATCTTTGCCCCTGAATTTTTATCTACATTATGCTTAGGGCCCCCCTACCCCCTAACCCATGGACCCTTCGCAAGCCCCTCAATTAATTTCGAGCCCCCCAAGTGGCAGACACACACACACACACCCATCCACAGCCACATCAACGATACGTGAGCAGCGCTTAAAATCTTAGCTCACACTTTACAACGCCTCACAAAAGTGGCCACTGCACTCAAAACCACGCAATGAAAACAATAATTCTGGTGGGGCTTAGGGTTTTAGCAGGGGTCGGTTCACATAGTTGCCAAGCATAAGGTTGGGGAAGTGGTGTGGGTGGCCAGGCCCACCTCATCTTGATAATTGTGAGGTGTCCAACCTCCACACCACCTCTTCATTATGTCTCGGGTGGGCATTTTCATTTCATGCCTGGACGCAATCCGGCGGGCCCCCTTAAGGCACAGGCGGGTGAACAGAAATGAGTCGATCACCAAGAATTTACATGTCAGTGGCAGCGCAGGGAAAAATTTACCAATGCAAACCACTGTTGACGGTCTGCTGCGAGCAATGGGTAAGCATGACCCTAGATTTGCCCAACTAGGAACATACCAATGTGTTTCAGACATGGATGTTGGCAAAAAAAGGTGTTCGACAAGTGGTCAGATCACAAAAAAACATTGAAAAAATAGTCCCGAGTAGCTGTTTAACAGGGTTTCCCAATTAAGAAACACCATGTCCGAAGCCCTAAATACGGCTTATCTGTGTTTTTACATTACCGCCATTTCAAAGCCCTTCTAAACCACACACATGGTCGATTTTTGCCGTAAATTTCTATAAATTTCTTGTAGCTTCGGTACCCTCAAACTCCCTCAAAAAAAGGGCCCCAATACACCCGCAAAATGTTGCGTTGCGTTGCTGACTGTCCGCTGTCCCTCCGCTGCCTGTCTGCTTCTTTGGCCCCAATCCTACAAACATGCGGCGGCTTTATATGTCTGTATATATAATATATGTCTATAATTAACCATGGCTATACTAAAGGGGGCCTTAGCGTATATCAACCTGCCCTGCCTCTCTGGCTGCTTAGTCTGCACTGCACCTGCCTTCCGCCGACCCTATTTTGGACAACCCCGATTTCCGGGACCCCCTACTTAAAAAAATGAGGAATTTTCTTAATAGGGGGGGTCCTGTGTTTTTTAAATAGGTGGACAGGATTAATTCACAGGTTACCCCCCTCCTATTCACAATTCACTTTTTAGCGGAGGGGCCATCAGCCAATAGTAACATCAACAAAAATTTGTACGTCTAACCTTTTCGGGCACAAAAAATGTGGTTCAAGCGGCGCGTTTTGAAATTTGAATGCCCTGATCTCGATCGCTGTCTTCTTGCAACTTTTCGGTTTGCGCTTTCAAGGTCCACCACCAACTTCGTGCAATCCATCGTGCAAGTTTCCTAGCTAGCCGTGCCGTCGCTGCAGAAATCGAACCACGGAAAAATTGGCTGCGCAGTGGAGCTTGCACCCCATGCGCGACCCAAGGATTTGTTGCAGGCAGCGCCACCGAACTGGAAACAAACTAATTAATCGGATTGGATGGCACGGGCTTATTCACAAAACACAACATCCAAACGTAGCGAAAATAGAGCAACAACCTTAAACGTGCGAAAAGAATCGTCTAAACAGTGAAACTTGCTAGCAGCACTTGGACCAGCAGCCAAGCGTGGCCACTGTAATGAGTGACATGTGGCTGGTGATGCATCGCGTGGAAGGGGCACACCCTCCGTGTTTTTTGTGGAAAAGGCGCCATCGTGCAGCTGCTGGCGTGGCTTTGTAGTCATGAAAGTGAAGCTTGCTGTCATGCATCGGTGCGCATGGCGTACGGCGTCTGTGATTTGGGTGGTGGGGCGTTACTGTTGCGCGTCGTGCGGTGTTGACCGCGTTACGGTGAGTGACAGCAGCACCACTGTCTGCGTATTGTTTCAATCATCATCATTGCTCACCATCAGACATGCCAGCGCTTCATACTTCACTACCGCTCCGCACACTCCACAACTCCGCGGCACATTACGCGATACCACGGCAACATCAACACACAACACAAGACCTCATCACATCCCAAAATCCTGCTCCTGCTTCCACGCGCCCAATCCAAGGGCACTTGTATACCAGATCGCACCGTCTACCCGCAACCGACAAGGCACCACAAACATCACCTCCCTGTTCACCTGGCTTTCCTGTAGCATTCGGGCGCGTCGACGTACCTAAAAAACCAGCCGTGCACGACCCGTGCGCCATACAATGACAAGCTACCCAAAACGTCCTAGCTCCTCAAGTCTAGGCTCGTCGCGTTCCAACGGCGCCAGCGGAACGGGCACAGCGCGACGGAGCGCGACGCGGCGGAGCGGAGCGGAACAGGAGGACTTCGAGAGGTGGCCGAGCACGGTCCCGCCACCGGGGTTGGTGGCGGTCAATGGCTGTTTCACGCGGAATGCCGCGGCGTGCGCGCACCCATCGAACCATTCGCCAAGCTGCGAAGGTTACTGGGTACTTGACTGAAAATGCTCACACGAAGCCAAAGCAAGGGGTGCAAAAGTTTTGCAATGAGGAGGCTTCTTGCACACGATGCCAATGGTTTGCACCCAAAAGATGGTGCTTGGTCGTAGGTGAAATGGAGGAGGGGGCAAAGCAAAGTAAAACCCCATGCCCATGCAGACTTGAGGTTGGAAATAAGAGAAACCAGTCCATGGCGTTGAGACCAGCGGCGGCTGCAGTCGCATGTGATGAAGCATCAGAATGGGAAGACATGCTACACAGACAAGCGAAAAAATAAAATATATATATATATATAGTAAAAAAACCTGCCGCAAACGTGCTTCAGGCGACGAAAAACCTGCGTACCCTCGGAACACGCAGTCGGAAGCCCTAATTTGTTATGTCACAAGACGAGTTGGGAACTTCTCTTGCGAGTTCATCGTACAGGCCACCTCTGATACACACCAGCTCCCCCCCGCCACTCTCATGCTCACATGCTGCAACTGTGCTCCCCCGGCGGGCTCTTTCGTCGTTGTGGGTCGACAAAGGCGTCACGCCGATTCCCAGCGCCAGCCAGCGGGGCAGAAGGTCCCACAGCCAGCGCCATTGCCCAAGGGGGGGCTTCGCAGCCGGCGTTTGGACACCTTCAAGCTGTCCCAAGACTTGCTTACGCGGCATTGCGGAAGTGGGGTTGGCAAGGACCCCGTCGCCGTGCTGGTGCTGTTGGAGGTTTTTCGATTTGGTATCCAAATACCAGGTTGACTCCAACTCAAACGAATGAAGATCTCCCTTGGCCAAACACGCGACATTCCTTGGCCACTTCGGGATCGGCCAGTGCAGTGCAACGCTTCCGTTTTTGGGCCCTTGGCGACCTGTGCCACGGCATGCGGCAACGGGCTGCTGTGACGGCGTCGTGGTTCGAGGTCGCCCGATGGAAAGCGAACGAAGAAAAGGAATCGACCACATCGGACGGAATCGACCAGAGCATCGAAGGATGTCGCGTACGCACACAAGTGGCACTGGCACGCTTTTGCCAGACCCCCTCCACACCTTCGAAACAGACCCCCACGGTCTTCCGGAACTCGAGACATGCGCGGGAAGCGAGGAGTCTGAGTGAAGAATGCCTCGTTCACTCAACAAGACGCCATGGAGAGATCGACCCATTCTCCGTGGACCTTCCTGGTTTTGGGTGCTTCCTTCTTGCTTCTGCTTATGTTTTTCCTCCATCGGTTGGAACAAGGCAACATCACATCTCTTCCCCTTTCTCGTGGCTTTCGTCGTATCTCCTCCATCAGTCTTGGCCACCGACCCACGAAAGCGGAACGAACGAACCTCCGAACGTCGCAGAGCGTCGCAGAGCACTGAGGAGTTCGGGATGGCCGTTCCAACGAGCGAGCGCAACAGGTGCGCAACAGTTGTGAGTCATTTGGTCCTTGGAAAAAGACTCGTCGTGGCACACAGGATCATGAGAGGAAATGGAAGGTTGCACATGCCGGCTCAGGGGAAAAGGTGAGCATGGATTTGAGAAGGTTGCACAAAGGCTGGCAATCAACCCAATTTAATCCATCAACTCAAACATACACATCTACAAGACTGAACAATGTTGAAATGAAGACTCAATAGAACTCTGGCCCTCACCAGATTGTCCAAGTCGAATTTGGTTGCTTTGTTTTGTAATTTTGAAGTATGTTTTGATTTCACCTCATGTTCCCAATCAATTGATACATCAAACAACAAACTCATGTCCAACAATGTGTTGTTCATACTAGGCTCCAAACTCGTGTATGAAAACTTGACTTGGACTTGGAACTTGAAATTTAAAGAGAAATTGTAGTCAATTTCTGTCACATGTGCCAAGCTCAAAATGTTTAATATGCAAATGAACGTTGATCATCGAAGTATACAAAATGTTGTTTATGTCTACTTATTGGTTTAGCATTTCTTGCATCATGGCCTAGATTGATATGTCACACAACTTATGTCGCAACATGTGTGTGGACAATGTTATGCAACTAGATTTTGCAAACAAATAAGATTGAGGCTGGCACGGCGAACTACCAAACAAAAATGTTTTAACTAGCCGACTATGGTTTTCCGACTCATTCTGGAAACAAGATAAGAACCGGGAACTGTGTGCAGAACTGTGGTTTTCCAAGATTCCTTGATGATTTTTTGAAATCGAAAGTGTTGGGTGGAAAGTGCAAAATTGAAAAAACAAACAAAAACAAAATAAATGTGAAAACGGTCGCCTGACAAACAGTGCAGAATAGTACTGAAAGCACGCCGGAACCTTTTGCCTTTCCCACTTCTTCGTTTCGCCTTTATGTGCGAAAACGTGTGCACATCTTAACCTTCTGACTTCCGCTGCAAGCAAACTGAACGCCTCACTCAGTCATTTCAATTAGTGATTTCAATCTGGAAACTTGGGAACGCAGTGGAAGGCCATAATGGCGCAAATAGCTTTAAAAATGTCCATGCCCAACTCTAAATTTTGGTGCACACCAAATTCTAGACGCACAAAGATTGCTGCCACAGCAAGCAACTGCGCAAGAAACTGGCAACATGATCACAGCAACGAAGCCACTGTGAGTGCTAGCACCCATTCCCACACATGACAACCGAAAGCCGGCAATAGCACAACGAAACCTCCACCCACCTGAACATAAAATCTGTTGTCCTTACGCTCAAGATGAAGAAGAATGCACAACAAGGCCGAACAATTGAAGGCAGAAGTGGCTTGAGGTGGAAGTGCCAGGGCCACACCAAAGAAAAGGCACACAAAAACAACAAAGCCACCCACAGCAAGGTTGTCTTCTCACATGCCAGAAAGGAGAGTTGGCATAGAAAGTAGAATCACTTTGAGTTGAGTGATCCCCACCATGACATTTCAATCCTTTGTGGGGAACGAATATTAATATTCACTACAAGTATGGACACAAATGGACACAAGCGCAGGCAAACTTTACGCCACAAGTCCCATTGCAAGACTTCCGCAAGTCTTGTCTAAAGGAATAGTTTTTGCGAAACACATGCACGGCTAACCCTGCGCTGGAGGCGCTGACGGCTGCCAAGTGAGGGCTTTGGTCCGCACCGCAGCGCTGAAGTCATGGGCGATTGCAGCAACGGACATCCGAGTGCCTTCCTCAATGCCCCCAGGCGGAAGATGGAAAATTGATGGCCATGAAATCCACAGCATGTACAAACGATTGGGCCTTGCTCGTGAAGGTGATGTTTGGTTGGTGCGCCTGGCGATGTACGGCCTCACGACATCTTGAAGAGACTGGTCGCAGTATCGTGACCGAACGCTTCCTGGAGTCTTTTTTGCACGAGTCGAGCCGCCATTCATGCAGGAAATGCAAAGGTCAGCTTGTGCAGTATTTGGAAAAGTCTCCTTAGCGAAAAGGGGCCAAACAAAACAAAAAAACACCCAAAAACCAAACAAACAACAAAAGGAACACGGGGCAGGAGACTTTTGAAAACACACTTGAATATACATGCATGGGTGAAACAAAGAGTGAAACAGATGTTGGGTAATGAATTGGAGCAAAAGGGCCACGAGATTGGCTAACTGAGATGCGGTGCGAAATGCTTGCTGGCACGTCATGACTCTTAATCAAAAGGCCTGCATAAGCAGGCGATGTCATCGAGCACTAATGGCAATCGAAGAAGGCACTTGAAGAGGCACGGACAAAATAGACGGGCAAAATGCCACAACACTGCTCTTGTGACTAGATGTATTAAGAGGAAAGGCTCATACTTTTTGGCCCTGGAAAGCCACTATTGATAAGACAGCTCTAACGCGCCAAGCGAGAGGTGTGGCCTTTTGTTGTTGTTCGATGTGTTCAACGTGTTCAACCGTCTACGAGGTTGAGGTGGCCATTAGCAAAGGCACATCGCAAGGCAGGAGCATCCGAAGATTCGTGCAGCCTCCCTCCACAGGAGGGAGGGAGGTGACGCGACTCCGATGCGGTGCACCTCAAAACAGCTTGGCCAGGAGGATTGCACCCAACATCGAGGAGCGGTCAGTTGAGCAAACATCGTATTGACAGCGAGGCATTGGGTGCTGTCACGCAGTAAATCGTGCAATGCCCATGTGAAACCGGCTCGGGATGGTGTATGCTGTAGACAAGGACTAAGGTCCCCGCCTGGGATCCAGCCAATTGAGCATGCATCCCAATTGAAGGCAGCATTGCTCTGTTGATGGACAGGGGTTCCATCGAGGTTGCTATCGGCTTGCATGCAGTGGGACAAGGCTAGACAAAGGCATTTAATACCGTGCCTACTGCCCAGCAAATCAGTCGGAGTCTTCTCCATCACGAGGGAGGAGGTTG